AGGGGGTCTGAAAGGGGGTCCGAAATCCCCTGACAGGTGAGTGCACTGGGGGGGCCCGGCCCCCAACCGGGTGCCCTGCCCGGCCAGGCCGTCCGGCACCTCCCCCGGGCCCTTGCCGGTCACCCGGGCGGCCCGGATACCCACTCAGGTTAAAATTGGAATAGCATGGCCCCTGTGCAAGGATGACACGCATAAATCAAGAAATGGTCCAAAAAAAAAAAAAAAAAAAAGAACAATAATTTGAATAAAACACAAAAAAATTGAAACAATGGAAAAAAATAGAGAAGACACGCACAACACGGAAAAAAGGGAATTCCAGAAGACGATGGATGACAATGCGCAGGGCTGTCTTCTAGGTGTAGACTCCGCATAGTGTGAGAAACATTTTGGAGGTTGGGGTGACCTCCTCAGGGAGGTTTGAGTCCGTTTGACCATCTTCACTATTGGTCTTGAGGTCTGGCTCTCCGGGTCGGAACTGCAATTCATGGTGGAGGGAGTAGCAATTAGGGAAGAAACCTAGAGCAAATACAGGAACACAACAATGCTGGATGGCAAGATCTAGGGCCCTGGTCGCACAACAGTTGTGCAAGGACCCACATTTTGCAGCACAACGGGAGTGTACTATATTTGTTAGCACATCGTGTTTTCTGTCATGTGGCGCGATTCTATGTTTTGTACGTGTTCTTTTGAAAGTTTTTTGTTTTTTGGTCCTTCCTTTGAATTTTCAGGAAATGGGCCTTAGTAGTGCTTTGAGACCAATCATACATGATGCTTTCGCTCCATGCACAGGCCTGATGACACAAGCTCATCAAAGCACAGGTGAGATGTACGTGTCTACACTTTGATAAACAAAGGCTGAGCCTGGCGGCACGAAGTGTTGATTAGATCCCAAGCGGAACGCTTGAGCTTCCAGTCGCCTGGCTGGAAGTTCAGACTGTATCATTGTCCCATCTTATATTATTTGACAATATATATGGGCTGTCTGGCGTGCAGTCGTTGAGGCTTTACGGTCTTAGACTTCCTTACCTGCTGTCTCTGTACAAGATGCGGTCGGTGATGGCTGCCAACTAGCCCCAGCTCTCACAGGTACGGATGGGAAATGGCTGGGTATTGAGTTTAAGTTGTTTAACATTTATGCTACAGAAATTGAGCAACCGATCGCTCCCTGCAGAAGACAATAGCTAACCAAGCCCGGGTGCTGGTGTTAGCTTGGTCTCACTTGAATCACCACAGCTTCAGAGCGACACCCAACAGATCCACCAGTTTACGTGGGGTGGAGAATAACAATTGTAAATGGCTGGGTGGAGGGATAGACAGCAGAAACCGTATAACAAGATGAACGGTTTGGTAAGCAGGCTTGGAAGTACTGGGGTGATTCTCCTACCCTGCTTAGTATTTGAATGGCCAACAATTCTCAGAGCTTGAGCTCACTGCTTGTGTGTGTATATATGTGGATTTTGTGTGTTCTGTGTGTGTGTTCCTTTTTTTTTATAGCAGGTTAGGTGGTACTTGCTCATAGCTGCAAGCGGAAAACAAAGCGCCGTGAAGGCGATGTACAACGTGGCGCTGTGTTACCAAGTCGGTGAAGGTGTGCAAAGAAACAAGCGTGAGGCAGAGAAGTGGATGATGAAAGCTGCATTTGCGGGACACTCGAGGGCACAACTCTGCTATGCGGAGCAGATGAAGGTGTGTGTCTCTTAGTCCTTCGACTGGCTGGTTGGTTGACTGCAGGCATCAAGCTGTTCTCTTTTCGTGCTCACCCTGTATGTGATACCTGTGATTTCACAGCCAGCAACTACATGCTTGACCTCCCCTGTGCAGATGTAGAAGACACTGGTTATTATACTGTTTTAGGGGCCTCTGCAATAACCCATGCAGTATGCCTCGTTGAATGTCTAAGGGCCTTGCCAGGTGACCACTAGGTCTCAGGCAAAAAAGGGAAAAAAGACCCCTACATGGATTCAGGGCCTGAGCGGGCGACAGTTGACCAAAGTCAACTGCCTGAAGCTCAACAGTCAAAGTCAAAAGTAGACCCAGCCCAGGCTACTGGTCAGACGCGCACACTTGTTTGTATGCAGGTACCCAGACAGCATCATGACCAAATGGAAGTCTGCAACTGTATACAATCCAGGCCCTCGGCTGTAAGTGGGGGACCTGAGGCCAGTCTGCCTAGTCAAACTCTACATAAGACTTGGCCTCGAGGGAGTCAACATTCAGTCTTGCTATGCTGCCTTGCCGCTGGCTTGACGCTGGCACTGTGGACGACGACGAAGGACTGTGGTGGCATGCTGGCGCCTTCTTTCTGAGTGCCAGCCTTGCAGATGTGGCGCATGCCATCTGTCTCCATTGCTGATGTGGCGCATGCCACCTGTCTTCATCGCTGACGTGGCACTGGCCACGCTGTCTACACGGGGTGATTGGTCGCGACAAGGAGGGAGATCGGGATCTGTGGACGATCGAGGAACGGGGTACTTACCTGAGGTTGACGTCGATGTTGTGCGCTGCTGATTGTCTCCATTGTCTTCACGGGAGAGCAGTGCCACATGGCACTTCTATGTGATCAGGACTTGTCAGACTTGTTACTGGGTACTGTATGATGAGGTGGAGGCGAGGGGAAGCCCGTAGAAGAAGTGGGTAATGTTGGGCTACTCTCCTGGTGTTCATTGATTATCTCTTCCACCCTCTTATTGTCTATTCCCCCTCCACTCTCTTCGTCTACCGGTAACGATATATTGTATCAGAGGGGAAGCCCGTAGAGGTCACATTCATGATTATTGGAGACATTGTCCAGATCTGAGTTGTCTTGCATTTCGACGTCTGATGAGTATCTTCCAGTCTGGGTTCATTACACCTCCAACATCAGGTCCTGCAAGTTGCAATAAGGACCATCAACTAAAACTGCATTTTGTGTGTCTTGGTGAGGGCCGCCTTGAAAAACAACTCTTCTCACGCCTCTGCAAACATCGTGCATGGACTAGGCCACTACGTGGCCCTTGTTCGTGCCTCTGGCCACTATGATCTGAGGGGCAATGGGGCCATGGCTCATGTGGATAAACTCCTCTGGAACGACACAGATCTCCAACCTTGCAAGAACATTTGTTCACTTAAATAATAATAATAATTATTATTATATTATTATTATAAAAAAACATTTGACAACTTGTCCATCATAGACTGAGCAGAGAAGTGTGTCGAATTCCCCATGCCCATTTCCTGTTGGGTCAACTGCGATCCAGTTCTTTGAGGCTGCAAGCAGCAGCATTGCTGCCAGAATCACTACAATTTGCTGCCATATGTGCAGAGGACAGGTTCTTTTTTACCGACTCTATGCACCCTCTCGTGGAAAGTGCTCCAGTTTCAAGAGCACTTTCCACGAGAGGAAACTGACAGGAGATAGATCAGGCACCACACCAGCACACTCCCGAATTTCAATGCTACAATGATCCCCTCATCCCACTCCGTTGCCACCCGACTGACATCCACACATGCTCACCGACACAACACACCTATCTCGCACGCCAAAACAACGAGATGGAAATCAGATGAAAGCCGATATTATTATTCTTATTACAACTTCAGCCACACAGCAGCTATGGCTGGTGGCACGCAAACAAAGGTTCTCTCTCTCTCTCTCTCTCTCTCTCTCTCTCTCTCTCTCTCTCTCTCTCTCTCTCTCTCTCTCCCCCCCCCCCCCCCCCCCCCCCTCCCCCCCCCCCCCCCCCCCCCCCCCTCCTCCTCTCTCTCTCGCCCTAGATCGTGACTCTCTCTGGATACCTTCGGCTTCCTTCACTCACTCCCTGATACACATTGCCTTCCTCGTTTGTCAGTCCTAGTCCTAGCTATGGCGCCTAGTGCTGGTGACTACTCTGCACCGTGCTGTGGACTGTCGAAAAAGGAGCGGGAGCTAGTCTGGTTCAGACTGCTATCTGAGATGTGGGCGGTATGTGGCATCTTGTTATGCTCTGTGAATTACTCTTGCGCACGTGAAGAACTTTGGCCCTTTTATTTACCCTTGCTACAGTCGTCTACCGTTTCTTTCTTCATGATTTGACTACTCCCAAGTGTCTGTCCTTGCAGCTCCTCTCAGCCGTCAAAGGCTGTCAGATGTTCAATGTGTCCTTGAACTGAGCCAGCAGATTGCTCGAGTCTTCTGGCAAATCTCAGTTGTTGAAAGCTGTCATCTTTCTCTAGTGGCTCGTCATTCTTCTGCGTGGCTACGTTATGTCTTTATGAACTTCCGAAATTAAGGCTCGGGTTATTCTTCCCGCTATGAATTGTTCTAGAGTCCTCCACATTTACCTCTCATCCATTCCAGAGGTCGAAGACTTCCGCTACGTAGTTAGTCCGGAAGTCATCTCTCTCTCTCTCTCTCTCTCTCTCTCTCTCTCTCTCTCTCTCTCTCTCTCTCTNTGTGTGTGTGTGTGTGTGTGTGTGTGTGTGTGTGTGTGTGTGGCCCCTGTGTGTGTTGTTTCAGTCACACAAAGACACCTACACCCTCTGTTTCAGGCACCGACGTAGGCACACACACGCACACATACTCGAACACTCTCTAGTGCTCACAAACCTTCTCTCTCACTGTGGAGGTAACTGTGCCCTTTCGAGCTGTACTATATGAAGCAAGAAGAGAAACAGAGGTTGAGTGTGTGCTGTACTTTGACACAACACTATTGCTGACCACCAAGCCTGCCAACTTGCTGACTGTGCTCTAGTAAGTCAAGACTGACGAAGCGTAATACAAAGAATAGGTGGAAGCCCCACTATATCAGGGAGGAGCTAGTGGGTGGGTTCGGGAGAAGGGGGGGAGGGGGAGAGAGAGAGAGAGAGAGAGAGAGAGAGTTTTCAATGTTTGCCATCATCAAGCTTTGATGATTTGGAAAACGAGTTCACAAAACGATCAACAGAATTGGGGTGCTCAGAGAGAGAGTTTTCAATTCTTGCCATCATCAAACTTCGATGATTTGCAAAATGAGTTCACAATTGAGTGGGGATCCGGGCCGCCCGGGTGACCGGCAGGGGCCCGGGGGAGGTTCCGGGCGGCCTGGCCGGGCAGGCCACCCGGTTGGGGTCCGGCCCCCCCCCCAATGCACTCACCTGTCGGGGGATTTCGGACCCCCTTTGTGTGTGTGTGTGTGTGTGTGTGTGTGTGTGTCTGTGTGTGTGTCTGTGTGTGTGTGTGTGTGTGTGTGTGTGTGAGAGAGAGAGAGAGAGAGAGAGAGAGAAGTGTTCAAATCATACTTGCAGTGTATCTCATGCGCGGGGTGCCGCACGCACATGCACGCACGCACAAGTGATGCGGCGCATTAAAAAAATAGAAAAACAAAAATGTCCTAGTTGTGTCCAGCCTCTTTTCGGAAGGATCCCTACAGCATATTAGCTAGGACCCGACGTCATGCAGAGATACACTTCGAACTTGTACTCCCTGAGGGTGGGCAGAGAATATATAGTCTGGATTCCAATTCAGGTCTGTGCATGTTGGTTATGGGTTACCATTTCTCTGTTTTCTCGCTTTTCTTTTCTTTTCTCGTTTTTCTTTTCTTAGGAATACGTGCAGTGGCCCTAAGCCGTAGGGCCTATACTCACCAAATGCACAAAAGACAAAACATATGGTGGCGTATTATTCCACGTTCTGCAGAAGATTCATTCTAATTTTGCACATTTCGTGAGTAGTGCAGCCAAGCCCTCAGAGTCACGTGCAGAGACCAACAGGCCCTAGCTACGTGAGCAACCCATAACTGCTGAAACACGGACCTGAATTCGAATCTTGAGTATATATTCGGCCAGCTCGTGCTCTCTTTCATATCCACTGCCGGCCTCGATTTTGGTGGGGGGGTCTGCGCTACATGTCTGCGAGGACCCTTCAGATAGCCTGCATGGCCGTCTGAGCCGTGTTAAGGGGATCCATTCTCTCTCTCTCTCTCTCTCTCTCTCTCTCTCTCTCTCTCTCTCTCTCTCTCTC